AAGGAAGGAAGGAAGGAAGGAAGGAAGAAAGAAAGAAAGAAAGAAAGAAAGAAAGAAAGAAAGAAAGAAAGAAAGAAAGAAAGAAAGAAAGAAAGGAGAAAAGAGAAGAGAGACAGGAAGAAAGGTTGACTGCAAGTCCAAGCTTCAGTGGGAGAAAGAAACTCCGGTCCCGCTGCTGTGCCCTGACTTGGGGCTGCCACCCCTGAGAAGAGCACTCAGAAGACGGGCGGCTGACCAGCGCTTTCCTCACAGCACTAGAACTAGAACAGGGTCAGCAGCACTTTCCTATGAAGAGACAAATCATGTATACTTCCGGCTGTGAGGGCAGTACGGTCTCCCTAAGGACTATCCAGGAGTGGCCTTATCAGCAGGGAAATGAATGGGCCTGACTGCTTCCATCCTAGTTCATTTGCAAGGCCAGGTGGGGTCTGGGTTTGGCCTGTGGGTCACAGATCACCCATCCCTGGGCAAGGATGACCACTGCTGCCCACAGCTCTCCGAGGCCCAGGCATAGGACAACCTCCCAGGTTCTAACTCTTGTTCTAAATCTACAGAATCCCTGATCTATGCAGGCAAATTGGATCCCCAGCACCCCCAGCCTTCCCATAAGCAAACGTCATCTAGAGTAATGATCTCGAGTAATACAACATTCCCCAGAGCCAAAGTTATGTCTATGCTATTTTCATGCATAATACCCAATGCCCACTAAAAACAACCAGGCGTATGAGCCAACAGTGAGTTTACAAAACACGAAAGAAAAACAAAAGTCAGCAGAAACAGACCAACTGGGCAGACAGATGAGGGGTGGTAAAATATTTATTAATGTGCCCGAGAAATAAAGGACAAAACTGAGACTCAGCAGAAAACTAGAAATTCTAGGGCAGAGCCAAGTGGAAGTTCCGGGACTGAAAGCCGTACTAATTAATATGAAGGTGAGTTTCACACATCTCTAAATGTGGCTAAAAAGAAGTGAGGAACTGGAAGATGTATCGGAAGAGAACATTCACAACAAAGAGAATGAGATAAAAATGGCAGCACTCTCGGGGTGAGAAGAGGCGGCACCCGGCCTGGGGTCAGAGTGAGGAGGGGAAGTGAGACGGAGCATTTAGAGGAACGATAGCTCAGAATTTTCCAAAGCAAATGAGGGACATCAAGCCACAGATTCCTGTATCCAATCTAAGCAGGAAGAAAAGAGAAGTAAAGGCCCTTACAGCGGGGTGATGGAAACACTCCTAAAAGACAAAAGAGAAAACCCTAAAAAGAGCCTTCAGGGGTCTCAGCACAGTATCAGTGTGCTGACTTGTCAGCATACCGAAGGGCCCCACCTCCTGCCCTGGAGGTTTTCCCGGTAAGCCAGAGTGGTTCAAAATATAAAATTCAAACAATAACTGCACTGACAGGATGAAGGAAGAAACCCACATGTTCATTTCAGTTGATGCAGATTCAACAAAATTCAACATCTACTTGGGAGGCTGAGGCAGGAGGATAATGAGTTCAAGGCCAGCCTGGGCAATTTAGCAGTAACAGATCTCAAAACACAAGTTTTACAAAAGCTATGTGGTACAGTGCTTGCCTAGAATGTGTGAGGCCCCCGGTTCAATTCCCCCTGGAGCACAACAGACAGACAAACACAAATAAAAAGCCAACAAACAGGGAAGGGAACCGGCCACCCTCCCCCCCCCCCCCCCCCCCCCTGCCCCGCCCCAAGCAGCTGCTTACCAGGCTGAGGTGACCCTGGTCCTGGGGCTCTGTGTGAGCTGAGCCGGAAGAGCAGGCGATGCTTCCTCCTCCTCCCTCCTCCCCCGTCCCCCTCCAGGCCTTCCCTGTCCCAGGGCTTCTCACCTCCTCTCTTCCTTCACTGTCTCCAGCTGGGCAAGGCACTCAGGTCTCAGGTGCTCTCCCAGCCTCTGCTTCCCAGCACCCGGTGTTGAGGCTCTGACAGGTCCAGACGCACCCGCGCTCTGTGCGGTGTGCTCTGGGGCTTCTGTTCACTTTCCTGCGTGGTCCCGTTACATCTTGTGAGGGCGGACTTGTACCTAGGGTTTGCACACACACAAAAGGAATTATACTGATAGAAGAATTAGAGATGTAAGTCCACAAAGGGAAACAAAATCGGAAAGGGAAGAGAAAATGGGAAGCAAAACCATTTCATTGGGAAAAGGAGTGAAAATAAGTATGTAGGCAGCCACGTTGAGTAAGGTCGGGCGCCCAGAGCTGGCGCTTGGGGCGGGGGCGGGGAGGATGTCTTTGTTCTCAGCCCCTTTTATTACATGGCTGTCGGAGACCACAAATTACACACTGAAGCAGGGCTTGGAGGCCTTGAGCCCCGGACGCCACTGTGCTCACAGCGCAGGACGAGGTCTGCAGAAGACCAGACAGGCTGGGCCGGTACCCAGGTGTGGGGTGATCTGAACCTGCTTCTTTTGTGATGCTAAACTCCTTCCTCAGTCTACACCGCTCCAGGAAAAGTGCTCTGGGAGCCCTGCCCGGCTCCCCAGAAAAAATAAAAGTGGGCTGACCAAAGAGGCCTTTTTCTTTGCCCATTCTGAAGCAATGACCTCCCAAGCCCCCACTTTCATAAATTTAGTAATTTTTCTTCATCCTTCACTACATGCCTCTTACAGACACTTGGGGATCTTGGCCCGGCCCCCACACATGGCGAGGAAGGTGCTCTCCCCCTTGAGAGCTCTGTCACTTGACTGGGCCAGCTGTCCTGGGCTCCGAGGCCCCTTCCACGGCCCACGTGCCACCCTCGGGTGAGCAGGCTGTGTCTCTGTGCTGTCTGGGGCTCACCTGTGAGATTCACGGCAGTCACATTCGAGGCTGAGTGAGTAAAAGGTGAGCGTACACGGCCGTGTCCTGCTGTGGTGAGAATAACAATGTATGGGTGAGCGTCCAGCTGTCAGTGCACATTTTAAACACTGCGTGTTTGTGATATGGTTCCCCTCACACTTTGTTCTTTTCTGCTTACTGGAGCCGGAGGGAGGGAGGCTGAACCCTGGCATGAGAGCCAGGCCTCCGTATCAGCTCTGGCCCCTGAGGGGCGAGCTCACAGCCCTGTGTTCCAGGATCCTGGCGCCACACAGCAGGCTCAGGCCCTGCTGTCCTCCACTGACTGGTGGGGCCAGAGGGGCCCCCGCGGCACCACACAGGGACCCAGCTCCCTAAGCAGTGGTGCAAGTCGTCCTCAGAGCTCCACGGGCGTCACCATCAGGCACTCCTGGCTAGAAACGTCTAATCCATGTAATCGTGGGAAAGCAGGCAAGTCCAGATGGCAGTACACTCTACTGGTAAACGGCAATGTTATAAAATTATGAAATTCTCTGCAAAGGTATGTTTTTTCCCAGGAGAGGAAGGAAATTCCTGAATCATCACGATAGTCACAGGCTCCAACTCAATTTTAAGAGTCCTCACATGACAAACTTCTGATTGACAGTAATTTGGGTCTCTGTTAGATGGAGCAAGGGAAGTAGAAATGATGCACCCAAGACAGATGGAAGGTTTCTAAGAGCTGACAGCTGATTGTGTTAGTGTGAAAGATGGAGTGGAGCCTCGAAGACAGCTGGAACCTAGGATGCTGTTAGACCCACAGCAGGGATGGCGTCAGGCTGTGGACAGATGACTGCAGCTTCGGGTGGCTCCGACACCCCTCACAGGCCCTGTGCCAGGGCTTGGTGCCACTGGGCACGGGGATATCTGAGGTGGATGGGCAAGGGTCTCAGCCTGGTGGGGACTGCTGCACTGGGGAGACAGTGCCCCAGCTCCTCTCTGGGCCACGAGGCCAGTAGTTTGCTCCACCATGAAATCTGCCACAATCTGCAGCCTCAGCCATGCCCAAATCTACCCTGGATTGAACCCCACTCCCTCTGTCTCAGGTACAGTGGTACCTCTGTTTGCAAACTCAGTTTTTCTATGATTCTGGAAAAGGTGGCCGCATTTGTGTTTGTGCTGGAAAGATGGCGATGGCTCTGCTCATCACCCCATGCAAAGTTTGCAAACAGAAACAAAATCTTGCCAAACACTTGTTTGTGAACCAAATTGTTTGCAAACAGAAGCATTCATGAACCAAGGCCACTGTATTTGTTACAGCAGTGAGAGCTGACCGCCAGTCAGGGACAGCTAGCCATGAAACGGGGGATCATTCTGTGTCTAGGACCATGCTATATAATTGTTAGCAGGAAATCACTTCATAATTAAATTGTGATTAGGGCTTGTCGGAGGCTTACTGCATTGCCGTGAGGGCTGGCTATGGTATGCAGGTACATAACTCCATGTACCTCCTGGCACAGCTGAGGCCTCGCCCTCCATGGCCTCCACAGTCCCATGATGCTGTGATGCTCCAGGACAAAATTACAACAGCAGAAAACATCCTGGTTCCTTGAGAACCCAATAGTAATAAAAACAGGGTTTCACCTTGGAGAAAGGACAAACTCTTTCTGAACTGCCGTCTTTCCCCACTGTCCCTGCCAACATAGAGAACGTCATTAGCGTAAGATCACCACCACCCTGAGTGATCTGACCTGATCCTCATCAGCCTAAGACCTCTCAGCATAAGATCATCTCCATCCTGAATCACCTGATAATCCCTCTGATTATTTTGTACACCCCATAAAAAGGGGCTGGCTCGAGTGTCTCTGCCTGCCCATTCTGAGGCACTGACCTCCCAGCCCCTATCATGCATCACTAAACTTGTGTTTCTTATTTCATCCTTTCACCTACCCCCCATACAGGCAGTTGGGGATTTTAACCAGGCCCCTGACAATCCTGGGCTATGTACCAGAGTGGCCCTGAGGTAATCACAGGCTTCCTAAAGGGATAAAAGCAGGCAGAGAACCCGAGCAATGGCAGAGACTCAGCCCAACACCTCACCTTTGAAGATGGCAGAAGGAAGCCCAAACCCAGGACTGTGAGGGCCTGGAGCAGCTGCAGAGACTAGGCAGGTTCCTGCCCCGGAACAGCACGGCCAGCACCTCCACCAGCCCTGGACGTGAGATGTGCGCTGCGTGGGCAGACCTGTGAGGATGTTACAGAGGTAGATGCGTCACTAGAAAATGTTCAAGGGGGTTTGCAACGGAGACGACAGGAGGCCACTGGTGTTCAACAAGGGCACTGCCTCCTGCAAGTTCTCTAACCTCATCGTGTAACCCTCCATGCCTTGTCTGTGACTGAGGTGGGGACAGCAGCACCACTCACCAGGAGTTAGGGATTAATGGGATAATTTACGTGAGGTCCTTCTTTACTGGCAAGTGCCCCAATAGAAGGCACTTCCTGTGTTGTTTTAATCACCACAGATCTTTAACCATTGGTTTTATGACGAATTGGTCAGTCATAGGAATGAAAAATGAAATTTCCTTGCTTCCTTGTTTGGAAGGGGCTGCTGTGGTACTGTTTAAATCATGGCTGGTACATTATGTCAACTTGGGGAATCTACAGGTTTGGCTAAGTGACTCAGCAGTTCTACATCCTGGGGTGAAAAGAACACACCCTTCCTGGTCTAGGATGTTGTTCATTGTGTCAACTTGAGAAGTTAGAAAGTTCTCTAACTTAGTGCCTAATAGTTAGTTAGTCAACTTAGTGCCTCATAAGTTAGTTAACTTAGTGCCTCACAGTTAGAAAGTTAACTATGATTCAGCAGGGAGTCAGGGTCCCTACTTTGTATTCATCTTGAGTCTGTGCAAGAAGAGGGCATAGAGATGGTGTGCACATGGGTGGATAGCCAATATACAATATGAGGAGGAAAAAGAGGCTTGCTCCCCCTCCCCATTCTGCTCTTGCTGCTTTTGCTGTGTTGTGCCACCTTGAAGTGTTGCCCCTGTGTCATGCCACCCTGCCTTGGAGCCAGCTGGTTATAGTCTGAAACCTCCACAAACTTGGAGCTAAATAAACCTTTCCTTCCTTAATCTGGGCATTGGGTGTTTTGTCTCAGCAATGAGAGAAAAGTAACCACGACAGAATGTGGTACCAGGAGTGGGGTCACTGCTATGACTATACCTGACCATGTGGTTCAAGAGCCTTTAAAAATGGCTTGTGAAAAGTGTTTGGAAAGGTTAGGAGATTTTTGCCTAAAAGAGAAGCACTAGAATGCTTTTGGCTGTTCTATATGGGAGATTCTGGTTAGTGCTCGAAAGACCAAAAGACTAATAGGAATCCTGCTGGTAAAGACTGGGTTTGGGAGCTTTCTGCTGGGAAGAAGGACTGCATTGGTTGTTGGAGTCCAGACAACGTGTGTTATGGTTTGACAGAAAGTTTGTCTGCATTTTACTTGTGTCCAGAGACTTTGCCTGAGACTGTAAAGGCGGTAGACTAATTAATCTGGCAGAAAAAAATTTCAAGGCAGACTAACGTTCAGGTGGTTACACAGCTATTATTGGGGGCTTTTAGCCAGATTTATGTTGCAAATCAGGAGCAAAAAGCCTAGCAAAAAGATGATTGAAAACATTGTGAGTTTGGTCAAAAAAACAAACAAAAAAACCTCCAGTAAAGCTGTGGATTGCAAAGATGAATCTGAGGAGACCTTGATTGCTGAGGAAAAACAAGAAAATAAAAAAGATGGCCTGAGGGCATTAAAAAAGCAGCAATCTCCATCCTTTGCATCCTCAAAACTACAAAAGTGAAAGACTGCTTTAAGAAGAAAGCCACAGAGTGCCACGTTCCACAATGGCAGCTGCAGCCACACCAGGTTCCAGAATGGCAGTGGCATAGAAAATTCATTCCTCAGAATCAGATACAGAGTGCTCCGCGATTCAGGCATTCAACCCCTGCAGCCAGGAGAGGAGGAGGCCTGGCTACTGCTCCACCTGACAGCAGACCTTGGCATCACCCACATGGTGGTGGTTTTAGGTACATGCAGAATGCAAGTGTTCTGAGGTTAAAAATGCTTCCACCTTGATTTCAGAAGGCCTGGGAGGCCAGGTAGTGTGTGAAGCTGAGGGTAAAGCCAAACATGCAGTGGAGACCCCAAAAGTTAAAAAAAAAAAAACAAACCCAGACTCATACATTGTCTACAAAAAGCTGGAAGGAGGGAGCAAAGGGGGCCTAAGAGAAAAGCTGTGGGAGCTCTAACCATCAGAAGTGCCATAGGGGTGGAGTCACACAAGCCCTTTGGGGCTCACAATGTACCACAAGATGCTTCAGATGCTAAACATGAAACTACAGGACTGTTCGCCCTGCTGGATTTTGGACCTTCCATGGTCCGTTCCTTTGTATTCCCACTTATAACTTTTAGAATGAAAATGATTATTTTGTGCCATTAAATGTTGAAAGTGTTTAACTTTTCATTTATACAGGGAATTACAACAAAGACTTTGCCTTACATCTTGGAGGAGACTTGGTACTTAGACTTCAGCAATGCTAAAACCATTAGGACTCTTGCAGATGGACTAAATGCATGGGTCTTTGGGGGACAAAATGTTAGGGTTCTAATGTAATATAATGTTGATAGACAATACTGGTTCTTAAGGATTGTTAAACCTGTGTTATAATGTTCAAGTTGTAAAATGACAAAATGTCTTGGTATCTAGAGACCAGCTTAAAGAAATGTGTCTGTTTGCCAAGCTGACAAGGGTGGATTGTTATGGTTGATACAGTGTGTCAACTTGTTATCTAGAGGCCTGGCTAAGTAATTCAGCAGTTCTGCATCCTGGGGCGAAAAGGACATGTCCTTTCTGCTCTAGGATGTTGTGCACTGTGTCAACTTGAGTTTAGAATTAACTAAGTGACTCAGCAGGCAGCCAGGGTCCTTACTTTGTATCATCTTGAGCCTGTGCAGGAGGAGGGCATGGAGATGGTGTGAGTGCTACACGCCCCTGGGTGGGGGTGGCCTGTTTATAGTATAAGGGGGGAAAAGAGGCCTGCTCCCCCTGCTTGTTGCACTTGCCGCTTTTGCTGTGTTGTGCTGCCTCAAAGTGTTGTCCCTGTGTCCTGTCACCCTTCCTTGGTGCCAGCTGATTACAGACTGAGACTTCCCCAAACTGTGAGCTAAATAAACCTTTCCTTCCTTAATTTTGGGCATTAGGTATTTTGTCTCAGCAACAAGAGAAAACCAAGACAATCAGATTCTCCAGAAATGTACTAGGTGTGTATTCTGACTGCATTCACTCTTTAAACTTTGTTTCCCTTTTATGCTAGACCTCAAGATCTGCCCTCATACACCCTGCAGAGTATAGCAGTGTGCAGGTGACTGCTGGCCCATAGCTGAGTGGACTCTGGGAGGAGGGGATGGAGATGGTGGCTGGCCCATGGCTGTGTCCTCAAGGACAGAGCCTCATTCCAGCCCCTTCCTCTGTTTCCCGAGCTGAGCTCCCCTCGCTGTCCACCATAGCCTGCCACAGGCCCCCCAAAATGGAGCCAGAGGGCCATGGACCGAGGCCCTGTAAACTGTGAGCCCAAATAACCTTCCTCCTCCACAGTGCATCTCTTGGGTATTTTGTCACAGTAAATGGACACTGACTCATTTGCCCAAACTCTCAAGTCATGTGGGAAACTACTGGAAAACTGGGGAGACAACTTCTGATGTCAATATGGATTTATAAACTTCACAAAGCACTCATAGCACCAGTTGCTAAAATATACACAGGCATGACTCTGTATCTGTGATACCTGTCCTCAGAAAGTCCCCACACCCTTCATGGGAAGGTCTGAGAAAAGCTCTTCAGCAACTGAAAATAAGCCATGAAACAGACTAAGATGCAGAAGTCTTCATGCCATATCCAAGGTTCCCCCAAGTGCTCAGAGAAGACTTTCACCAGGAAGTCAGGTCAGCCTGTTTGTCATTAGGTGGGCAGGAGAGATCCCAGAATTTCAAAGAGACTCTTATATTAACAGTGCGCACCAGGCAAACATAAATCTTTTTATAAAAAATTTATTGCTCTGTAAATACAAATTTCAGTATCAACAAACAATAGTCCAGTGAAAAAATACTAGGCATTGACATTGAAAACCTTTTCTTAGTTTAATAAATAGAACTTTGGCATTCAAAATTCTAGCTGTAAACTCTATTACAAAACAAAAACAACCCCTTTACAAAAAAGGAGGCAAAAATGATAGTCAGAAGGCAGAAGCCAGCCAGTGGCTTCACATTCCTTTTACAGTGAGTGTATCTCACGTCACGGACACTATGTACACATGAGGTATGGTGGATGGCTCAGAAACTGAACCCAGAGCACAGCACCGGCCGCAGGGACTGCGCGTGCTCCTGCCCTCTGCAGCCGCCCAGCACCTATGGCTTCTGCCGCACACCGACTGATGCCGCTCACGCTCCAATATTTAATTTAAATAACAGCTCACATATTAGCTATATATACACACACATATACCCACACATATACACACATGGACACATTCTGTTCTCAAGGAGCCCTTCACTCCACAGTGAAGGCTGGGCCCCAAGACACGAGTCTGAGCCCTATTGTGGGGTCCCTCCATCTCAAGAACACTGCTCTTTGCTCAGCCTGTCTGCACGAGAACACGGCGCAGGAGTCGCGCCTGCTCAGAGCTCCCACAAACAGAGAGGGACGCTTGCTTACTGCAGGCAAAAGGCACACAAGGTTCTCTCCGTATGCAGCTGCAACACTGATGTCAGACTTCCCGATCAGAAACTACATCCTATGATAGTATTTCTCTGAAATAACAAAACTCTCAAAATCTTTTCCCTCCATGATTAAAGGTATGATGTAATCCTATGGCAAATACCACTGATGGCATCTTAGGGCAAAGCTGAAAATTTTACTCTTCATATAAAATAAGGAACAGTCTCTCCTATTTATGAACACTGAAGAGAACTCTCACAAATGGAAGCAAGAGGAACTAACTTTAGTTCACCTCGTGTTGTAGCACAAAGTCGTAACCACACCTGGCAACGGGAGCCTGCGGGAGGGGGAGAAAGCCGACAAGCCAAACCAAGGTGCCCAGCAGCCAGGACAGGGACAGTCACACCTGGCCGCTGGGGCGGTGGTGACGGCTACAAGAACGCAACCACACTCAGCGAGCGTCTTCCCGAGGGAGCAGTCCCCTTACACAGCATCCAGGGGCCCCGCGGAGCCTTGCACAGCACGAATTATCCTGCAGGCTCATGAGTCAATCAGAAACGTACAATCCTCGTCTTAGTAACACTTTCCAGCCTTGAGATTGTCTCCAGCAAGCTATTTAAAGAGGCCTAATTCAGTGTAGTAAACTGTCACACCAGAATAAATTTCACTAAGATATAATACTGTTAACATTAAATAGTGAATCCTATTTAAAATGCAAAAGGGGCCACACTTTTTAAAATAAATTCAGGCATCTCTTATCTAGTCAATACTTACACTTTTTAAAATCAGAGCCACTGAGGATTTACTAACAGTCAACTAACGGCTCATCCTACTCGATGGATACTAAAGGGAAGGACAGCTCCGGGGCCTGCAGTCAGCTGATCTCTCCTGCTCGAGTGAGCTGCGTCTTCCACTGAGACAACTGTCCCTCTGAACCTGAGCTAAGGACTGTGTCAGAGTGAGCTCAACTGAGAATGCACAACCGTGACAAACGTCAACACTGTGTGACACTTCCCAGGAGGACAAGCACTCCATCCCAAGAGCAGAATTAAAGAGGGGTCATCAGCTGAGGACGTCGGAGACTTCCTGCTACCTGCAGGTGACTTCATCTCAGGAACACCGGGCTGCAGCAGCAGCTTCGCTGAACGGCCCAGCTCGATCGACCTAAGAGGAAGCTCTCTGTCTTCAGCGTGCCACCAACACTGTCACTACGTTAACACAAGAGGGATCCTGCGGAAGGGGAGTTTCTGAAAAATCAAAATAAGAAATTAACACTCACAAAATAATACTAGTTTCACTCCCCCGAAAATTCCCTCTGCACACTCCAAGCTCCGGGAGGCTCCCTGGTGGAATCTAGGCTCACTCCACGCGTCGCATCTGAACTCTCCTGATCAAAGCATACACTCTGAAACTGCAACAGAGCAGCAGCACTTCACTCATTTTCTACTAAGCCAAAACAATTTTGCCTCCAGAGATGGGAATTAAACTCTGCAATTTTTAGAAAATTTATTACAACAAAAATTATTTTATCCCAACTACACCAGAACAGAAAACTATATCCAAAACAGATGAAAACAAATGACCTTAACTTCATGTTAAAAACACCACCACTGCAAAAATCTAAGACTAAACTAAAAATCTAGAAGACATTTAAGGAAGAACCAATCGACGCAAATGGGCTGCACTGGCTCACCGGTCCGCTTACTCCTGAAGCCTGGCGGGACGGCGAGGCCCACAGCGCCGCTGCTGCACGGCGGCTGAGGCGGGCAGGGGCGCTGCGTACTCCCCTGTGCAAGGCCAACCGCACACCCTAACTCTGGCGGGAGAGCCCTCGGCACCCAAGCTTTGGGACTTTTTACTACCCTGTCTTCAGGCACTGACTCTGGAAACCAAGTGAGCACACTGCACAGCCACGCTTCTCCCGCAACCAAGTCCAGCCCCGGCTGGGCAAAGACTCAGCGGTGAGACGGAGCAGGCCCGAGCCCAGCGCATCGCCAGGTTGTCTCCTGCAGGCCCCACCCGGCCACGCTCTCATGGCAGAGAGCAGAGGACCCTCTCCTCGGAGCAGCTGCTGTGACTGCTTTACACCAGGCAGCGCTGTCCTGCGTGCCTCAAAGCCTCCCGCCCCACCTCACAGTCCACCCCCACAGCACTCGGTGACGTGCAAGGGTCACGTGCCTGTGTGGAGGACGGTGCCTGGCCGTAATGAAGTGTTACACACAAGAGCACTGTGAGTGCTCCGAGGCAGTCAGGTGCAGTTCTTCCAAAACGCCAGCCAGCTCTCAGGCACGGGCACACTGACTCGGGAGCCTGCACAGCTGCAGGTCCACTTCGCATCAAGTGCACGGCACCTAACACCCTGTCCTCGAGGCCCAACAGGCCTGGCCAAGTTCACATTCTACGCAAAGCTCCACCTGCAGGAAATGCACCTCACATGAGGCATGAAAATCTCGGCTCAGCTTAGATGCTGTTTTATGCTAGTATTAATTCAGAGATATGGAATAGGGGCTGGCTTTTTCCTAAGGTAGTTTAAACTTTAAAACAGGTACAAAATGTAAACTGTAAAGGTTGAAATGTGGATAAATAAGCTACTCTGCCAAAGTCACTGTCAATCTGTCTTTTAAAATCATCTCACCTCAGAGGCTTGCACTAATCATACAGATGGCTTTGTTTACAATGATACCTGTAACATGTAAATAAATTTTGGAAATATTAAGGGGCATGCTAAAATTAGTTCAAATTATGTTAAACCTGGTAACACACGAATTACCTACAGTACCAAAAGCCACCAAGCCACAGCCTCAGCTCAGTGACACAAATGATGCGGCCTGACTCCTGCTACAGTGCCTGCCTGCTGTCAGGACGGGCCTGGCCAGCCCTCCCTTGGAAGTCCCGAAGCCGTGAGGGGAGGGAACAGCAGACAGTGTGTGCCTTTCTCAGAGCTCTGTGCTTGACCCTTGAAATCCTTAGAAATTCTGTGAATAAAACACACACACACAAATAAAAACCCCACACACACATGCACACACAAAGACAAAACTACAGAAGTAAACAGATCCTACCCTTTCTGAAGGGCACTGTTCACAGCTTGGCCCTACAATCAGTAGTTTCACAAGATAGATATTTTCTTGTAGACTTTATCGCATCTTTCAAATGGTAATTTGAATTTTTTGCCTGATTAGAAAGCCCTTCAAAATCTCCTCACAACCCTTTCCCTCAATAAAACAAATCCACAAAACCCCGCCCAGGAAGCCACGTATTCTTGCACCTTCCCGTCGGACTTGCAGGAAGGACCACGAGGAGCTGGCGCAGCAGCACCGGCCGACGCCTCACTGGGTGACGCAGTTGTCGCCCATGTCCTGAGCGTAGCGGTCGGATATCGTCGTCCTCAGCTCGTCAATGTCCCTCCGTAACTGGCACACATCGGACAGCTTCTTACTGAGCGTTTCTGGGCTGTGGTCAGTTTCCGTGTCTTCAGCTGAACAGCTCATCGCTGTGTACAGAAGGCACAGAGGAATATCTGACATTTTGCTTTGAACAAAAAAAATTTCAGGATTTCACCTTAATCATCATGAAATACAATGCTACACACTGAACATTAGTGAGGTTCAGATTAAATTATGCCTCATTTGATATTAAATACTGTAGACACTACCTACTTGGCCCTTTAAAAATTGTGCTAGTGAAAATGTATGAAATTCATACATTTTCTGATTGGAACTGGGTGACAAATTCAGCAGGCTTCCTGGGTGACAATATTCAAAATGAAAAGAACATCCTCTAAAGTCTCTTTCAAGCTCAACCAGAGCCCTCACTTCTTTCCATTAGACAAACTTCTGAAAACTGTTTATATAGCAAGAGGAATTATCTTAATTTTTATGATCACAAAGTGAGGTTTTAATTGGCAAGCAAATACTAGTTTTCAAAATACATGGAGAGGCTGCTGGGACTCCACAATTCCTGGTGAGCTGAGCTGAGCTGGCAGCTGCCCAGGGTCTGACAACTGCAGGAGGACCCGAGTCAGCAGCTCTCCTGACTTCCAAGAAGCACTCAGGAAAGCAAGCGTCAGCAGGGACTGAGCGGAGCCTCTCCTGCTCCTGTCAGCCCAGGGGCTGGGGGCGTCCGTCAGGTAGCTGATATTTTAACGACAAACTGAAACTCTGGCTTGGCCCAGCAGTCAGGCTGGATGTCGAGCTAGGTGGCTTGTTCTCAGTGCTCTACACCCAACTTCCAGGAAGTGTGGCAGGTGACCTGCCCACAGGGAAGAGCGGCCAGGCCTGAGGAAGCCACAGGCCCCAGCTCACCGAGCAGGCCGAGAAAGCAGAATGAATGAAGGCACAGAGCTGACAGAATCAAAAAAGCACCAGAGCAGAGGTTCCCAAGGCAAGCAGGCGCTACCTACCTGCACCACAGGAGAGGGCTACGCCTGGGAAATCAGGCTTCCGGTTTAGAAAAATCACACTGGCAATGCCATGACAAACAGATTGGTGGAAGGAGGGGACCTGGGTGACAGAAATCAGTCCAGGTGAAGGCTCCAGGACAGTGAGTTAAGGCCAGCAGTGCAAAGGAGGGCTGGTGGTGACACAGCCAGAGCGGAAGGTCCATCATCACCACCTGGGTGGGAGCTAAGGATAGCACCTGGCACCTTTGTCAAACCTGGGCCACATGGGCGGTGCTGTGGTGAGGGGAAAGGGGCTATGCTCAGCTGTGCCTCGTCTAGGAGGCCCACGACAGAGCCGGTCCTGACAACAGCTGGGAGGGGGAAGGCTAATGGGGCAAGCCCTAAGCAAAAAGCAGCTTGGGACCCCGGAGTAAGTGGCGGAGAAGCCTGCAGAAGGTGAGGACTGAGTGTGGAACTCCACAGTGACACCTCGGAAAGCAGGTGCATAGAGCGGTGGGAGGGCGGGGCCCGGCCTCGGGTCACTGTGAGTCACAAAGACTCAGGGTTCTGATGGGCCTGACAACCAGCTGGCCGAGCCAACCTCGCACGTGAAGCTTCCTAAGCGCAGGCAGGCTGGGGCGGGCTCAGGGTGGAGCGGCTGCCCATCACTCTGGGGAACTAGGACAGCTCTGCCACCATCAACGGCAACAGGATGATGGCTGCGTGAGTGCGGGTGACAGATGCGGAGGGTGGGCAGCCCTGGACAGGGCAGGTGGGCTTTTGCCTTTTGTTCCCAGAGGTCATGTCCAACTGCACCACCCCAATTCCCAGAGCTAATGCCCTGTGCCTGCTTGAAGAGCTACACCAGCATCAGCGCTCAGGCCACACCCTGCCTGGCAGAGTTCTCCACCTCTGCCGCCATCCCTGGCCCTTGGCGATGCCAGCTGCACCACAGTGCCCTCCCTGAGTCTCTCTGTGCACGGCAGGCAAGGCTGTGCCCAGCCAGCTGCAGCCCAGCACCCAATGCTAAGTGACTGCTCTCAACGTCAAGGTCCTTACACACGCGCGTGTCCATGCACACACACCCGTGCAGTGGGAGGATAACTGGAGGGACTTGCTTCACTGAATGCTAAGAGTGGTGCTGGTTTTGCCAATGGCAGAATTTCTCTAAGGAACTGGGAAGCAAAGGCAGCCCTGCTCAAAGCACACACAGCCTCTCAGGGTGGTCACCCTGCCCTGGAGCTCCTTTCTACCTGCCACAGAGACCTGTGTATCAGCGCCCCGCCTGTGGAGCCACAGGCACAAGGGGCACGGAGCACCCACACTGGCGGAGGCTGTGGGCGTTGGTCACACGGGAAGGGGAGACGCCAAGAGATCTGTCTGCATGACAGGAGTGGCTGCGAGCGGGCTCCTGTGAGGGCACCCCACTCACACTGAGGGGCTGCCTCAGAATGCATGATCTGCACCCTGCAATACTGCACCAATAGCTCCCTGGCTGCCATTCACCTCGCTACCAGGTGGCTCGGAACTGCCAATGGTCCTTGCATGACTATCTCGTTGGTTGGTACGGGGCAGGCCCATCAGTGCAGGCTGCCCAGTGGGACAGCCATACAGGTGCCGCCAGCAGTTCAAGCCGGCAGGAACACGCTAATCCACACAACTGCCACATGGAAACGAAACGAAACATCATTGCTTCTCGAAGAGCAACCAGGAAGCCCCTCTGACTACCACCCAGGCACACAGCCTCACACTGAGCCAAGGCTTCTGCCTGGCGGGGTCCACATACGCTGCGGTTGTGGCCTCATCACTTCCGTATGCAGAGAGGTCTGTCCCAGGAGGGAGTGGCCGCAGCAACACCTAAAGCCACAGCCTCCAGGAGGGAAAGGAGGGAACCAAACAAACAAGGAGGCAGGCAGAGCTCCTGGTTCATGTAGACAGGTTTCTAACTGCTAAGCCACTTACACCTGATCCCCAGCAGTAAGGAGAGATTGGGCTCCTTGCCCTGGGCCCGCTGGTTGAGAATACTGCACAGTGCCTTCAAGTCGAGCAGGCAGCAGGACATCTCTTTGAAGAGCTGATCGATCACCGCCAGGTCCAAGAGTGGCCGCAAGGGAGGCGCTGGCTGCTGCCTCAGCGGCTCTGCCTCCTCACACTGGCCTTGGCCCAGGCCCAGCAGACAGTGGGGTTCTCCTGTCTGTCTGTGGTTCTGTGATGGATCAAAATATCAGCTGTTAGGACAGAGGAAAGGCACTCAAAAGCCATGCAGGCTGACAGTTCCTGAGTCTGTGAACGGAAGTCTATTACCAAGTGTCTCCTTATGCACACACTAAACAAACTGACTGCACACACACTGGGGGAAAAGAAAATGAAAAAGACTCACTTCCATGGTAGAAATGGCTCTGACACCCTAGAGCAAGCCTCAGAGAAAAAGCACTAAATCCAAACAGTCTCAGGTTCTAGGGGTTTCTCTCATCACAAGCAGCTTAGTTACATACCCATTTTCCTATAAATGAGATTTATTCTAAGGACCAAAAGAACTTTAGGACACATTCAACCTTAGTCAGTAACTTTATTCCTAGTGACAGTAGTAATTAAGTTACTTTGCAGTTATTTTTTGTCTACTATGAAAAAAGCATGTTAGGCAGGTGTGGTGGTACACACTGCAATCCCAGCACTCAGGACTCCTGCGAGCTTGAGGTCAGCCTGGGATATGTAGTGAGTTCAAGGCCATCCTGAACTACACAGTACGACACTGTACCACCTGACCGTGTGATGATCAACCTGGCTGTGTGATGACTGGACACTGGACGATCTGATCAGGTAAACAATACTCATGATGTATTCTCACCCCCCAAAATGTGACATGAGTTTCATGAAGTCTTTAGCTCTAATGTGTAGCTTCAAGAAACACAAGAGGATAAAGAACAAGATACATGACACCCACAAGGAGGCAATCAGACAAACCTACAGGACGGGACAATCTACAAGTCTGAGAAAGATGGGCTCCAGTCCTCAACAATACTATCCATGGGGGCTGGGGATTTAGCTCAGCGGCAAAAGCGCCTGCCTGGCAAGCGCAAGGTCGTGAGTTCGGTTCCCGGTACCGGAGAAAAACCAAAAACCAAAAAAAAAAAAAAAAAAACAATACTATCCATGAGTACCAAATCCCCAAAATGACTCACAGCATATACTACTACAATAAAGGGGCTCTAAGGATTTGTAAGACACTGCAGTCAAACGCAATTAGTCCTTGATTAAATGCTGCTTGCAATGGTACTAAAAAGTCTGTGAAGTGGGGAAATCTAAGTGCAGCCTAGGCATTATCAAATGTCAGGGAATCACTGCTCTTGTCAGGTATGACAGTTATGGTTATTTAAGAAAATGTCCTTGCCCTTTGGAAGCGCATTCTTCGGTAGCTAAGGGTGAAATGTGAGTCGAAATCCGTACTTTGGTCTGCGTGTTTTTCCACACAGTCCAGTCCTTCATCTCACACTGCTGAGACAGGCATCTGCTCCTGTGATGACCCCACCCTACAAGCCTGAGAAACATGAGCTCCAGTCCTCAACAATGTGCTTGCTGTACACATGTGCCCTTTGGAAACCTACACTGGCCTTATGGATTTTCAAGGGTGACTTTGTCTATACAGCTTATGCCCTATTTGCTCACTTTGGGGCCTAGGTCTGTATAGTATCTGACTTGAGGGAAGTCTGTACAACTGTACCTGAGACATAAGAAAAGTAAAGGTTTGTCCCCCTATTGTAATTTTCCCAAGAACCCTAATGGATTTAAGTACCTGGCACATCAAAATCAAGTATCCAGTTTAAAAAGTGTTCTATTAATTAATATATGCAAACTAACCCTTGCCTAACACTGCAGGGGGTGTGGACCATTCTTCCTGGGCAACCTGAGTTTCTCCCACTCACCTCAAGCAGCACTTTTGTTAATCTCTGGAGGTGTCTTTCTTTCCTCTCCAGCTCTTCCATCATCTTCTGTGTGGCTGACTTCTCTTTAGAAAGCTTCCCTTGGACAGACTAGGACAACAACAACAATGTAAAGCAAAGCATCTAGCACATGAAAGAAAGTGCTGATTTAACACAGCAGCCAGCGACACTGGCTCTGAATGCTTTGGAAGACGGAGCATCTGAAGTGATAAAAAAACGGAACAACATACCTTTAGAGAATATTACAGCATTATGAAAACACCCCCTTCTGTTGAATTTTCATTCTTAAATTCTAAGTTTTAAAGCAGTTTATCTGATGCTTTTCTTGCATAATTTCTTGCATAATTTTCTTGCAAACCTTGTCAAACAAACCCGTCACTTACAGAGTAGATGGGCTCTCTGGTATGTATATTTCTGGGCACTGAAATTCTTTCTCGGCTCCATTTGAGTGAATAACACATGGAAATTTCTTTACATAGCTGAATATTTACAATTTCTGGCCTGACAATATTATGTGGCTGTAATCCAGAATCCAACCTAACATTTAAGGTTTGTGATTGTTTATTACAATTACATAAGAAAAGCATCACAGATAAACTGTTTTTAAAACTTACATTTTAGTAATGAAAACTGAACAGAAAGATGGGTGTTTCCATAATGTTGTAATATCATGACCAATTTAGAGTCATGCTGAATGCAATAATTAGCTATGGACTAACGTTTCTGTGTGAGACTGAATTTAAACCAGCAACGAAGCACCCAGTTCTCTCCGTGAGAGTCAATCACAAGTGTGTAATGGTGCCACTTGTCCAAAAGAGGAAAACTGGATTTAGGAAATGACATTAAGCTTCACAAGTCATGTGGCTGGGCCAAGGATCTATAACAGAGACTCTCGACACCTTAAGGAGCTCACAGGCGTGCTGAAATGTCCAGGGTCTATACAATTCCTTAACATTGGGTATGAGGGTGTCGGACAGCAACATAGCACCTGAAACATTACTTCTTTATCTTACATTGTATAAAAAAGCATGTTTTTGAGGGATGTGGAAAAAAGGGAGAAAAACTTTTGACTAATTTTCTTATGGTCTCAAATTAAGACAAAATAGAACAAAATCTAATTATTAAGCCAGGTCTCTAAAACGAAGCACAATTAAGGCAGTATATATCACCATATCTTTTTTGAGAAATCATTCTATTCTTTAACAACAAGTGGTAAGTGGTTCCATTTTGGTCTTTTACCTAAAATTCACATGAGCTTTTGAAACACGTAGTAGTATTTATAAATTCAAATGTACAATATATTTATTCTGACATATTAATCTATAATACCAAGTGTTACTTTCTTCTGTACAAGATAAAAAACCTTAGAGACATTTCAGTTTATTCTATCAAGAATGAATAATGTGTTATTTCACAAAGAATTTTGCAAAGCATTTTTTGAGATCTAAGATTTTTTAAAAAGGGAAATTGCTCAAAACAGTGGCATTCTACTACACAGAAACTAAACAACTTATATTCCTTTCTGAAACAAATTTTGGGCTTTATGAAATTCAGATCAAGATCAAGCTCCTGATTCACTGAACATGTCGAGGATTAATAAAAATGTGAATTAAGTTTCCAACGTCTAAAATCTCTCTCAAGTTCCCAGGAAACATTTTTAAAAATTCTCCTAAATAACTAACCGGGCATGATTATTTCTGAATTATAAGTATGCTGAATACATGTACGGTTTTGACATGGACACTGTGAAACGCACCCACACGCTAACAGCTCCAAGGAAGGAAATGATGCGCAGTCTTCAGCATCCGTGCGCTCGACTTAGGAGGAAGTGCTTTGAAAAGAGACTTGCGCTACTGTCTTACTGCACACACACACCCTGTGTACCGTGCAGAGTGGCCCAGGCGCGCCCCTCCTGCTGTCACTTGTGTGAATACTGTCCTGTGCTGGGTGAACTCGGAAGGAAAAGCCCACAGGAAGGAAAGGGAGTCATTACACTGGACTGTTCATCAGGCAGGTGACTGTGTGTGAACACAGCGCTCGCTGTCAGGGAAAGGACGCCGACATCTCCGGGGAGAAAGAAGGGCTTGTGCAAAAAAGTGGCATCTGAGCAAAAGTCTGAGGTATTTGAGACAGTATCTTCAGCTACCCGGAAAAAGGGTTCCGCCCGCGCGAAGGGCCCATGGCAGCTGACCTCTTGCATCTGACGAGAAGCTTGAGAGCCACAGTGAGTGGGAACATCAGAGCTGAGGGGAACCCAAGGAGGGGGCCAATTACGCGGGCGCTCCTCCGTCAGTGGGAGAAAACCAGGGGCTTCTCAAGAGTCTGAGGAGAGACCAGAGCGCCCTGAGTGTGTAAGAAGGGGTTTCACCCAGAGACAAATCCTCCAATTCCAGTTCCAGGCAGACACAAGGAGCCGCACAGAGAAGAGCCTGATGTCCAGGCTCCACTTCCAAAGCCTTGTCAGGCCTGGGAAAAGCCTTCCTTTAAAGTCACCCGTTCCAGAGGCCTTGGCAGCACCCAGTCAGTCCTTCTGCATCCCAGCCGTGCACTGGGCTTGTTCACTGGCACACAGCCAGGAGCAAAGCCCAGGGCAGGCGCTCGGACGCCAGCACCGAGTCAGAGCCAGCTGCGCCGCGTCCGTCAGTCTGGCCCTGCGGTGCGGAGAAGGAAGGGCATCTCCTAGCGCACCTGCTGAGGCTGCGGAGCACAGCCTGGCCCGTGCACACCGCCACCACCTCCTCGACACCTTGCCGATGGGCAGAGCCACCAGAGGCCGCTCGCGTGGGCTCAGCCTGGGCAAACATTAATTCCCTGTCCATGCCTTCTGGACTGAGAGTGAGGAGGGTTTTCAAAACACTGCACTGAAGGCTACTTTCCCGGAGCAAACACACAGCTGGGAACTCCACTCCGATGGGCAGAACAAATGTCCACTGCTACCGGAAGGAAGGAGCCCTGCAATGGAACCTGAAAGGATTCGTCTATGAAGCACTTTAGGCCACAGTGCGTTGCTGAAAACAAATACGGCTGAGGCGGGAGGAACCCCAGTTCGAGCCCCGCCTGCAGAACTGAGTAAGACAAAGTCTCAAAAAAATGCGTAAGAAAGGTTGAGCTGTAGCTCAGGGCTAATGCCCTGGCCCTGACCCAGCGCTGGAGACGGAAAAAGCAGCTGGCAACTAGTGGCGCCTGACAGCTGGGTGTGATCAGAGACAGAATTAAGGAAGACAGACAGACGGACAGACAGATACAGAGGGAGAGAGAGAGAATGTCCAGAACAGGCAAGTTTACGGGTAGGAAACAGACGGGATTCTTACTGCTGAGGCAGGGATGAAAGCTCACATAAGAGGCAGATACACGCCTGTAATCTCAGCACTTGCAAGGCTGAGGCAGGAGGACTGCCACGAGTTTAAGGCCAACTTGGGCTACACAGTTTAAGACCAGCCTGAATTAAATAGCAACAACCTGTCTCAAACTAAAAAAAAAAAAAAAAAAAAAAAGCTACAGCGTTTTTTCTTCTGTGCCTATTTCTTTTTATTTTTTATTTTATGGGAAAAAAATTCAAAACAAAATAATAGGAGAATAACCATAGTTAATATAGTGTATATTGCTATCTTCAAAGTAGTTACTCAGAGTACAATATATGGACATAAAACATTCTCCAAATGATATTAGCACAAACCTCTTTTCAACAAACTAAATAAGAGAAACTAGTAGTAGTACAACTACCTTCTATTTTTTGCCTTTTTCCTTCATTTCCCCTTTCTACCATCCTAGTTCCTTTTTCCTTTTGAACAATTTCTTCCCATTTCACTATCTATTGTACATTTTGGTCCTTATTTACTCTTTCAGTTTCTCACAGGTAGACAATGTGATGTTTACACATGTGAGTCTGATTTATTTCACTTAAGAGTATGGTCTCAAGTTGCATCCATTTACCTATAAGTGTCTCAAACTCATCCTTCTTTATGGCATAGTACTCCACTGTATAAAAAGACTGCATCTTTTTTATCACTCCTTGATTGATCTGGGATGTTTCCAAGATTTAGCTATAACAAACTGTGCTGCTATAAACTTGGGTGCACATATATCGCTGTGGTATGATGTTTTCAGTTCTTCTGGAAAAATACCCAGAAAGGAAACAGTTGGGTTGAATGGGACCTCTAGTCCTAGTCTACTGAGTAATCGCCAAACTCATTTCTTTTTTTTTTTTTTTTTTTTTTTTTTTGCCAAACTCATTTCTGCAGTGGTTGCACCAGTCTACACTCCCACCAACAGTGGAGAAGGGTTCCTTTTGCCCCACAGCCCCTCCAGCATGTTACTGGCCGAGATCTTGGTGACAGCCATTCCTTCTGGAGTGAGATGGAACCTCACTTTTGTAACAAAAATCTTCAAAAGGACCAAACATTAAACCACTTTCCCTTTTCTGCAACACACCCTATAGCCAGGCCAGGGCAGACAGTGGCTCGGTAAGTAATGGGCCAATGAATGGAAGAACCAAAGTCCTTTCATTTCCCCATTTGTGGGCTGTGGGTTGTGTGTCAAGTGCTCTGCTCAGCTCTGAACGTCCAGATGAGCTACGCGGCCTCCATCCTTGAGAAACTCAGAAGACATAAATATGCATGTGAGCACTATGGGTTGATAAGAGAGGAACAGTAATACCTGGCCTTGTAAGCAGGGGAGGGGAGGTAGAGAGTGGTCAATTCTACCTACCAGGCAGCTGCTCCTCCCAGGTGTCTGCTTGGGGGTTCTGCGGGGGACAGGCGCCATGTTCTGGGAAACCTCAGGCACCAACCTGATGGAGCACTGCATGCACACACTTTCACAGCACCTGCACACCTGCATGGTGCAGTGCGCATGCTGACGGCAGGCATGTAAGGAGGAGCTACAACATCAGATGGGACGTGGCACACCTGAAGCCAGGGCTTTCACCCACAGACAGCAGAGAAGAACCAGACTGTTTCTGAACTTTAATCATTTAAATCTCCTCACAGAGCTGAGACTGCTAGTAGGAAAAGCGTGACTGGAGAACAGAAAATGAGGAGAAAAGAGGTGGCGCGGTAAAACAGATCCTGATCTAGGCAGGATCCGTGGGACATCAGCCAGAGGACAGAGACACCTACAGGATTCCAGTATTGAAGAGAGTACAGAGAATAGCAGCTCACTTCGGAGCTCTAGGGAATATCTGCTGGAGGGAAGGAGCCAGAGACGAATAGCGCGGACTGTGATCCTGCTTCCACAGGGAAACTGCACAGAGAGTGAGGAGGGCAATGGGCTTCCAAGTCGCTTCTTTTCCGGTCACTGAGGACCTACAGTACGCTTCTGATAAAGACAGGTGACGCAAAGGAGACAGCAAGCCTCACAATTTTCTGCAGAATTTATTCAACAAACAGAATTCCTAAAACACTGAAAGAGTAATACCAAAGAGTTTGTAATTTCACCTCAAGTGCCATTAACGTTTTCATATAAATGTAAACATGCTTTAGTACCTTTACACTACGTAAGCAATAAATCCACTTGTCACTGAATGAAAATAAGGATGAAGCATTTCTTACCTGAAGTTCTAGAGTCATCTTGTTAATTTCATCTTGTTGGCTACTTATTATCTAAAACACAGGAAATCAATCAGTTTGAACCAACCCATTTTTCCCCACTGCTTTCTAAAAGTACCAATATTACAAGAAAAAGGTATATGGAATTACAAATTTGTTTTAAAAAGGTCTTTTTAATTTATAAAGATATTCATAGCAAGTACCTTTAAATACCAACATGATTTGGATCATACATACATATAAAAATGGCAAAAGTCTTTTCTGTTAAACTTTGTGCAGTTTTTGAGAGTCTGAATAATTTAGGAAATATATCCTTTTGTTTGGGCTTTTACTTAAATTTAAATCAATTTGCTTAAACTACTATTTTCTTACCAGATAAAAACATTCAAACTAAAAATTTCAAAGCTATTGCACATGAGCAAGATTGCAAATCACACAGACGGCCACACGCTCGGCACCCCCACGGCACGCGGCCTCTCGCTGACCAGGTGCCTGCTCACCTTGCTGGCCGCCTCGCTTTGTTCTCTGAGATCGTCATTTTCACTCTGAAGCTGTTTTGTGTCTAACATGGGAAGGCGGATTCCATCTTCAAGGCATCTTTCTACTTTTTGCTGCAAACTGTTTTAGAAAGATTATATGAGGAAAAGAAGCTCTATTTATTGATCTGGGTTGATGACTTCAACGTAATGATGTTCCTTCTTAGATATTTTCTAATCAAGACCCACAGGAAGCACATGAGTAAGTAGAGTCACATTTTACACAAGTTCTGGTCCATAGTTAGCTGGGGCAGATGACATCCTTAGAAACAACAAGTCTGAGACCAGAGTTGCTTAGCCTGTAACACCTCTAGGCCCAGGTGAAGTCCATCATCAGCAAAACCCAAGCTCTGTCTTCCAGCCTCCCACTGTTCCTTCTCTAAGAAGGACTAGGAGTATGGAGCCATGTCACTGGTCCTGCAACTTCCTTGTAAGGACAGTGGTTACCTAAACCCGCAACATAACATTTCCTCTTCATTGCTGAGAGCAGCACTTTACTGTGTTTGCAACTTGGCTAAACAGTTGTCCTGTACCTGTGGCAGAGACAAACAGAAGGAACCCCTCTGGCACACTAAATGTAAAAGAAGAAAGCAGAAGTGGGGCTAGCTTTGTAATGTTCAGGTTAAAAGAAATCGTATCATAAATAATATGGACCAAAACCCGAACTGTGAACAACTGCAGGAATTCTACAGACAGCCCTACTTTAGCTGTTGATCATACTCACAAGCTGCAGAGTACTAAAAGATTTCTTATAATTGCATTCTGATATTTTCTCTTTCTAATTATTATGGCTACCTGAAGCTTCTTCTCTCTTCCAAAGGAAATAATGTCTTATTTATTAGTTCTTTAACTGATAATCCTAGGTGGCACAATATGGGCTTCAGACCCATTTATGAATAATGACAACGGAGATATTTTTATGTATTGCTAGCTGTCACAAAGTATTTGCTTTCTTAATCTATAAGTGAAAAATATGCTACCTTCCATACACATAAAGTCAAGATGGTACCTTCCATACACATAAAGCAATTCAACACATAAAATGCACTAAAAATACTAGTCTTTAAGGTAGAGGGAAAATGAGCCAGCGACGAAGGGAGAAAACATCTGTACTGGTAAATATGACATGTAAATATTCTCCCACACACTGACATCCATGTCCTATTCTACATCTTCTCAGCAGCAAAGCAGATACTACTGCTCAAGACACGTCACACTGTAACTGTCATTTCTGGTGGAATACTTTTCTTAACTTATAAATCCCAAATGCTCTGAAGAGCTCATGAAGAAGCTTAGAAATACACAGAACAGGTGAATATAAGGCATAGTTCTGAGTCACACATGTATCTGAAGGTATGAGGAAATGGAGACTACCCCCGAACCACCAGAGTTCAGTGACACAGCTGCACAGTGCTGAAGAATGACACACACACTTCTCTGGCTCTGTGCCTCCGCAAGGAAGCAAGAGAAAGTTCTAGAAAGACACTGTCTCAGACTGTATTGAGTCAAGACAAAAAGTGGCAATGTTTTCTCAAATTCACTGTACTAAATCTTTCCAAATCAAAAATTCTACACTCATTGTGCTCCAAAAACCTAATAAAAGAGAAAGTGTAACTAGAAGGTATAGGAATATATAAATATGCAAAAGCACACAGTGGGTCAGAGCGTGTTCATCTACACAGCTTGGTTTAGGACAGCGCCAACGGAACAGCACATACACATGGTCTCTTCTTTCCATCAGTGAAGGTGAAAGGAAAAGCCATGGCTGAATTCCTGAAAATCAGGAAGCTGCTTTGAGATTAAAGAAAAGGTACAAGGAATGGAGTTACAAAAACGGGGAAACTGAAGAATTAGCAGAAAGTAAGACAAATATGAAGGCAGAATCACAAGTATGTGACTCTTTGGAGCTGACATAAGGCATGCTAAAGACTGAACTACCCTGGAAATGAGAATTTTGGCATCTAAACAATAATTTTAAAAAGGTATACCAGGTATATTTAAGACTTTGAAGGTAGGAATAAAGCAATATTTACATTAAATTGGTATGAAATCAGGTGAACTGATTTAAAAGCTAAATATATTGAATTTAAAATTACATAAACATGAAGACTGCATTTCATTTACTTATTTTTATTAGTGTACGTTTGTAGTGCACAACGATGGCATTTATCACAGGGAGCTGGCGCACGCAGGCAGCACATCTTAATCCTTGCTATTCCCCTCCCTCCCTCCCCTCCATCTCTAGATGCTCTTCCCATTTGCAGAAGAGCTATCTCCCTGTTTCCTATTTTCTATCTTTGGTTTTGCTCTTTATTTATACTTTGGCTTTATTACACAAGAGAAACTGTGATATTTAAGCTTGTGTGTCTGATTTCACTTGGCATTATGGTTGTGAAGTATACCCACTTTCCTACAAATGACTCAAGTTTATCCTTCTTTGTATCACAGTACATACGCCATTGTGTATAAATTCCTCCTTTTCTTTATCTATTCATCCATTGATGGACTTATAAGTTGCTTCCAAGATCTAACTATTGTGCTGCTATAAACATAGGTATGCATGTATCACACTGTAATATGATGTCTTGAACTCTTTTGGGAAGATATCTATAAGAGGAATAGGTGGGCTGAATGATATTTCTAGTTTTAGTTTTTTAAGGAATCTCCATATTAATTTTCAAAGTTTCAAAGTTCATATTTCCATCAATAATGTGGAGAGGTTCCTTTTCCCCCACAGCCTCACTAGTATTTGTTATTATCTGAGGTCTTGATGATGGCCATACTTTCTGGAGTAACACAGATTTCAATTTGCATATTTCTAAAGGCCAGTAATGTTGACCATATTTTCATGTATTTACTGGCAATCTGTACTTCTGAGAAGAGTATATTCATTTCAGTTGTCCATTTCTTGTTTGGACCTTTTATTTTGGAGGGTCTAATTTTTTTGCGTTGTTCATATATTCTAGATATTAGTCCTTTACCCAAGGAGTAGCTGCCATTTTTTTTTCCTGATTTGAAGACTGAATTTCTTACATGTAGTTTTGGTGCTTTGTCATCTTATTTCAGGATTGTTTCATCTATTTATAGTCAACAGCATCAAGGTTTAAGTTTTGCCTGCTAAAAACAAGTCTATGTATCTATCACAGGTTCCTCAGGAATTCAACCTTAAATTTCCAGGCTTAAACACACAACCTAAATACACCAAGCATCCTGCCCACCATGTTTCCAACTGCACTAACTCAGAAGAGTCGCGTGCGGCGGGCTGTGTGAGAGGCCACCACGCCTGCGGGTCACCACTTTCAGGGACACAGCCTGTAAGGCTGTAGTGCATCATCTTGCTGGCCCCTTCTTCTGTTATTTAGCAGTTTCCTGACACAGCTATCAAATGAAGGGTTTTCATTAATATGTGCAGTCTTCAACTGTCATTTTTGTTCTTTTCTCATTTTTACTATTATCTAAAACCTTTGAAAGATGTTCGCATGTTGCTTCAAAATGAATCACAACTGTTTCAATGAAATTCTATTTCTGATTCTTAACAGTACATCTTTAAGAAAAATAATAAAGTAATAATTACAAATTAATGTATTTTAAATGAAATGCTTGAAAAAATACAAATGACTTAAGCATGAGGATCGTGAAAGTCTTCTTACCTCTGAATGGAGGTTACTAACTCCTTCTCCTTCTTTTTCTGGCATATTAACTGTGCCTCTTTGTCTTGACATTGTTTTTTGATCTCCTCAAGCCTCTTCTCTGTATCTATCAAAGCCTCTTGCAAATTTTTATTTTTTTCTTCTAGAACCTGCAGCTAAGGAGAAAGTTATCGCAGTTCATAACATATGGAGAATTATACCTTTCTATTAGAAATTACTACTGTTCTCAAGAATTAACAGATTCAGGGGCTGGGGATTTAGCTCAGCGGCAAAGCGCCTGCCTGGCAAGCGCAAGGTCGTGAGTTCGGTTCCCGGTACCGGAGAAAAACCAAA